AGGGAAAAGGAGTAATGGTTCTTGTAAGCTATAAAGCTTACTATAAAGGGGGCTCCAACTATTCCTATTGTTTTCCAAGGAGCCTTTAAGGGTATATCTTTTTGCAAGTTTCAGAAAATGTATACAGTGTCTCTAATTCATCTTGTGAAGTTAAGATAGGCTTGTGTCTTCCAGAGAAAGCTCTTATGTCTTATAACGTCTTATAGGAGGTAAATGCTATGATTTACATTAACTTGACCTTTATGGGAGTGAGTTTTAGAGGTAAATCCAAATAAGGAACAAATGGGATTGGGTGTCCGATTGCCACATTTTGGGTCAAGATTTTTAACCATCCCCATTAGACCCTGGGGACCCTCGCGTAAAACCTGAGGGCTAGGCCAGTAGCTAAAGCTTAAAACCTTGAGGATGAGACAGTTTGAGACAATGGTGTCAGTAGCAATGAGTCTGAATAAAGAGCCTTGGTATATCTCTGTCTTGTCTCTAGGTCAGATCGACTCTCTGTGGAGCCCGCTGTGGATCGGCCTATATGCCCAGCACCTAGAGCGCTGGCTGGCCTGGTTCCCCAGGACTCAGATCCATCTGGTCAGCGGGGAGAGGCTCATCTCCGACCCGGCCGGAGAGCTGGGCAAAGTCCAGGACTTTCTGGGTCTCCAGAGGATCGTCACGGACAAGCACTTCTACTTCAACAAAACGAAAGGCTTCCCCTGCCTGAAGAAGCCGGAGGGCAGTAGTAAGCCTCACTGCCTGGGGAAGACCAAAGGGAGGACGCATGCCACCATTGACCCGGAGCTGATGCAGAGACTGAGGGATTTCTATAAGCCTCATAACGAGCGCTTCTATCAGATGGCGGGTCAGGACTTTGGATGGCAGTGACCCTTTTGACTGTGTGGAACCAGAGGCTTTTGTTAGCGTTACACTGCTTTGGGTGGAAGCCTGTACAAATTTTCCATCTGACTGAAACAGATGCAAAGACTCGGAGTGCAAAAGATTCAGAGAACAGAGCCAATTATCCGCTTCTGACTCAATAATGAAAACCCAGTGTCAATACATTCACCTCTATCAATCGATCGTGTTGTTCTAGAGTTTGAAAGACAGCAGCGTCATTTTATCTATCATAGATGTTCAGTAAAAAGGTGCTTTTGTGGTATTAAGCAAGGGTGTCCCCTGGCACTGTCCTCGTCTGGTAGGCTACTTATTCCTACTCCAGGTGGTTAAATAAAGCATTTGTGTTCAAAGTTGGTCACGTGACTGTGGTTGCTATAGGTTGCGGCTGTAAAAAATGGATTGGTGAAATACGCAGTGTAGCTTTTAGTGTCTCTGGTCTGCAGTGTAATCCTGAAGCTCTAGTTGGTAGTGGCACAATTAACCCACAACAGACACATTTTCACATTCCTCAATTTCCACACCTTTCTTCTTCTACCTGTTTGTTCTTTAGTCTCACTGGTTAAGAATTTAAGGGCAATCAATGCATACATATTGAGTATCGTCCTCCAAGCATTGTTCCCGAAAAAGGTGGGATGAATCTTTTATGTGGCGAGCGGCAGAGGGGCGAGCGAGAGAATCTTTATATGAGCTCAGATTTGACTGAGTGGTTTTGTATTCTTGAATAATGAATGTGGATAAATGGATGTAGGGGAACTGGTGTGGATCACTTGCCTCTTTGCCTATTGGCGCATTTATGTGCTAGGCTTAGGGTAGCATCCGGCTGCAAAATCACCCTACTGTACCTTGAGATAAGAAAAGGGACCACTGGAGGACAACCAAAACAAGACCAGGTCAAATCAATGAGAGAAGGTCGACCTATCAATGGTCATTTATCTGAACATGATGTATGAAGCTTTCAGGCTTTACTGTGTTACTGTGAGAAGGCCTGCTTACAGGGTTGTCTGTTTTCAGTTTGCATGTATTTGCACTAGTTTGAAAGCATCAAAAATAAAACTATTTTTAAGCAAAGGACCTGCAATTTATTTTTGTGCTTATCTTTCTCATATTTATTCTTTTTTCCTCATCATTTGCCACAAAATGCTGTAATTCAAAGGTCTTATTGAGCCTTAATGAATACGGTTTGGATTTATGTGGAATGTGAGTGCAGACATTAGTGCAATTGCTTTGCAAGCGTAAATCTGTTCACATCAGAGATGTTGGGAAACTACCTTGTTAAGATGCAAAAAGTCTGGTGGTCTTTGTAATAATGTGAATTAAATCAATTTAAGGATGAACTTCAATGGATTCCTGAGTTATGCTGTTGGTTTGTATGGGGGATTGTAATTGCAAAGGGGAAAAATGTAATTCATACTTTGCAGTCACGTGATTACCATGGTTACCTGGCAGTCAAGAAACATATATATTTACATATATCTGTCACCTTACACCGCACAAAAATGAAAGCCTACAAAAGTAAGGATAGCTATCTTTTTATCAAGAGTGGATGGGTTGACAACGCTGTCGTATGGGAGGTGAAAAACTGGAATATCTTCATAATCAAAGCAAACATGAGTGTTACTAGTTAGCTAGCTAACGTTACCCGCTAACGTTGGCTAATGTTTGCATGTTTGTAGCTATACACAAAGTGACATCTGTTCCGTCGTGTGATGAAGTCTTCATCTGAATATGTACACCCTGCCTGCCGGCCAATGACAGCTTGATAAGTAACGTTAGTTTAAAAAAAACCTTATGCCAACTAGTCTGTATCATATATGGCTAACAGGATGTCAAACATTGTAGCCTACCTGCTCATCCACTCCACATAGCATCAGACAACAGACAAGAGCAGCTGGGGCAGCGAAATGCCTTTAATCCTGTTAGCAATCTGTTAGGTTGTAACGTTAATGTAGTAATAATAACTGTACCATAGTATGTATGCAAAGTAACTGTAAGTAAGTAAGTAAGTAGACGCAGTACAACAGTAACGTGTGTACTGTAACATGTATTCTTCTTCTCATCATATCATATCAAATCACGTACATATTATATATATATATATATATATATATATATATATATTTTTGTATAGTAAAACTGGTGACTTCCTGGCAAGATCCTTGATTAGTTTACTGGGTTTCGTTGCTGGAGAACGATGTTCTTGCCCGCCAGCTAGTAGTTGTGACGTCACATGCAAAGTATGAATAGAACATTGCAGTTCTGTATGTGTGTAAACAATATATTGATGATTTAAAAGATTTAAAGATTTAAAACAAAGAGCAAATTTCATCAAAATAATTGAAAGTTGCTGGGTTTCAAGAGAAAAGACATGAGAGTGCTAATATCAGAGTTGGAGAACACTGCCATCTTGTGTAGAATAAAGGAAGCGTTTGAAAGCAGGTGGGGAAGAAGTCCAGCAGAAAACATGGTTAAAAACAAGTAAATTCTTTATTATTATGTTCCCTCCTTGTTTACCTTCAAATAATAACTTTTCATAGAAATTTATTCATATCATTATATTAGGTTGCAAATAATTACCCACAAATATGTAACTAAAGAACAGTACACAAAAGTGCCACTGGAAATAAGTCTGACATACACAAAAAGACACAACAGTCCATGCTTTAGCATATAATGCAAACCGAGGTGATGAAATAGAATTTAAACTGAACTAGAAGAAAGCTTTAAGTTGTCTACATTACATTTCACTTTGAATTGAAGAAATTAACAAAATACACAAATATACTGTATAACACACATTTTCAAATGCACTTAAAATGACTGTATATAACAACAATCCTGGGCTGTGTTTCTCCCGTCAATTACATACAATTCTGTGAATACATAAGAAAAGTACCCCAATATCAAGTAAATATTACACCGAGAGCTTCAAAAGAGGCGTGCTCCTCTCGCTGATGAGTTTTGGCAGTTTGCACAGACAGCTACGTATTTCCTCTAAAGCAATTAGTCGGAGGAACAGCTTCGCGCTCAGTAAAATGTCGTGAGCGCAGGGCATGCTGTTTGATCCGAGGCATGCTGCTCTAAGTAAAAGGCACTCAGCATGGCCTGTAGGCACCCTCCACCCATGGTACACTCATTCTTTGTATGGTGTGGGTGAAGTCCTCAAGGTCCACCCCCTGTCACTTCCCTCCTTCCACGGCGAGACAAACACTCTGTAAATACTGTAGTACAGGGATTGACACCTGATGAGGTGTGGTTTAAGCTACTTAATGCGATTTGGTTCACACATTGGGTGGTGGCAGCGTATCAACGCTCCAATATACAGTATATGTACCATATCAGAAGCAGTACGTTGAACTTCTTACCACAGGGCTATCCAGCAATGTGTACTTATAGCTGAATGAGTCAGAGTCATGGACACACAGCTTTTTGCACATTTTCCTTAATGAATAAAATCCAATGGGCAGCGAGACGAGAGGCTTGAGAGTCATTAGAGTGTGCTACTTTTGGATAGAAGAGTGTTGGCTGCGGGAGATCAGGCCGCCGTTCTCTCTGCAGAGCTCTATCGTCGTACTGAGGTCTCTGTTCTCACAAGGTTGAAGCACGGACCCTTCATTGTTCCAGTATTGCTAGGGCAGAGGTATACTGTAAGTTTACACCTACGAACACAACTGTAGGGTCGGTGTGGTTCAGCACTGGTCCTTAAAGGTTCTGCATGTAACATTTAAGCATCAATACATCATCACCACATCAATTGTGGAACATTAGTATAGTTCCTGTAAACAACTGAGACCACTGCGGGAAAGACTGCAAACCCTTATCTTGTAATTTACACTTAATGGGACTGGCTTTGGAGGGAGTTAAAGGCCGCTGGAAAAATCCTCTCCTTTATATTTGTCTTTATTGGACAGTTAAACCTAAACCGGGGCTGTAAGCAGAAACACTGAGGTCAAGAACTTTTCTTTTGTGCCTGGTTTGGTTTGAATAATACCTAAACAGCAGGTGTATGGTTATATTATGTGGTCATACTTCCATCTAACCAAAAAATAAAAAAGAGCCTGTTAAAACATTATCCCGCACTTCATCAAACAAAAAAACAAGCTTAATAGTACAGACAGACAAAATGGGTATTTTTAAGCTTTTAAGCTTAACAACAACGTCTTAAACAACGATGTGTAACAGTAAGTTGCTGGTAGCATTGAACCCACAGAGAATTACTGAACCCTTCAGCGCCACTTACCTCTAAAAAAAATGTTTTGGCCTCTTATATCTCATTGTTTTGGTTTTTAGACACACAATGTTGTAATATAGTTCCGTCTCACCAAACTCTGTTTCCAGAAAAAATGTACACTACCTGCCCACCAAACAGCAGACAGATGAAGTTAGCAACTAGCTGGTGAAAGCTAAAGGACCATTTATAATTCATAGGAGTTAGTAAAGACCAAATCAGGAGCTAAATGTAAAGTGAATAACGGACTTACGTTTATCAGCTGGTCCGAAACGGGACTCCAAATTAACGGTAACGTTGTCTGTATCTGCTAGATTTTAGAAGTGTTCGCTAACATGTTAGCAACATGTGGTACTCAGCATCACCAGGACTCTCAACCATGGCCTCATATTGTTTACAGTAATCATATTATTGAACCACACTGAACATGACAATGACCTACTGATGTTTGAAAATGCTACACGCAGCTCCTCTAGCAGTACTCCTCTCCCTGTGGGTCGGGCAGGTCGTTGAGGTCCAGGAAGATGGAGGTGTTGGAGAGCTTGCGACCGTTGGACGACAGATCCAGCAGCTCCTCGGCGGTGCTCGGCACCGAGCTGATGTACATGTCCCACACCTGCTCCGGAGAGTCCAGCTCCAGCAGCTTCTGCTTGATCTTCAGGTTCTTCTCAATGTTCCTGCGCTTGTGCTTGAACTCCAGGATGGTTTTGGTGTAGCGGTTGATGGTGGTGACTGAGGACGCCATGCAGGCGGTGAAGGAGCTCCACGCCAAACTAAAGGTAAGAGACAAAAACAGGTCGACATCGTGGAAAAATATGTTTATTTCTAGAGGTAATAAATCTCTGAAAATAGGAACTAGATAACATTCCAGGGGCCAGAGAGGGTTAAAAGTAGGAACAAAGGATCATTTTTTAAAACTTAAAATAATATTTTTTAAGTTACTTTATGACCTTGACACAACACGCTTGCTTTCTTGAATAATTATTTAATGAAAACAAGTTGTCTTTATATTTCATTATCGTGAAATAACAATTACTCCGTCTCAGCATAACAAGCTGTCAAGACCATTTTTGGTGATCAACTAGTAATTAGTGTTTGACAGGGAAACAAAGCCCGTTATCATAAGTGATCATAAGACAAGCAAACCTAGAAAAAAACAATAATTACATGCCTGTTTTTGACGACCTTCCACAATAAATGTATAAGAGCTGCGAGTTTAAATGCACCATGTAAGATTGTGTACTTTTGGTTCCAATTAAATCTTAATGCTTCAGAATACAATGATATTTCTGTGTTCTTAACTTTGTGGCAGCAGTTTGTTTGTCAGTGCCCCCCCTGCACAAAGCCAGCTTCATAAAGAAATTATTTTCCCAGTTTGTTCAGGAAGGAGTTCATTTTCATTAGTTTTATTTTCATTTCTTTTAATTTTGTTTAGTTTGATTTAGTTTCCTGAGTGGGTATGCTTGTTTCAGCTTGTTGTTTTATTATAATATGGAGGGTATTTGTCAAGGGCAATATTTAAGAGGTTCAGAATAGGAATTACAATACAAAAGCATTTATTACTAACCCTAACCCTAAAGTCATGTAGACATCTGAGTGTCAATAAACATATGCACCAATGATTCTTGTGTTGACAGATTTGTAAGCACACAATATTGTTTCAATTAGTTTTTATTTTTATTTGTTAACTGTTTCTTGTTTAGTGTTAGTTAACTATAACCTTACACAGAGCCCTGATCTCATCCCCATCCAACACCTTTGGGGTGAAGTCGAATACAGAGCCTTATCACCCAACATCAGTGCTGGACCTCAGTAAAGGGGATCAGTTCCCTGTAGCCTGGTCTCAAAGTTTGGTGGAAAGCCCCCATAATGAGTGAAGGCTGTTAAAAAGCAGCAGAGTAATGCCTGTGGTGTTGGAATAAGATGCAACAACCACATACGTTTATAATGTTTAGCTGTCCACATACGTTTGTGTAAAATATGTATACAGTAGCTTAACATTATTTTATCATTTATTTGTTTTCTTAATCTTTTTTGATATTGAACTAAATATCTTTTGGTTTTGGACAGCTGGGTGGACAACATGTCAGCTGGGAAAATTCAGGAAATTGTGAAGATCTTAATTCCAGATAATATTGTCAATACTCAATATTCCTAATTCCTGTCTAAATGAATGAAGGTAATTAAAGTTGTTCTTCTAAAAGCCCATTCTGTCACTGGCTGGTACCACAGAGTCTTCCTTGTCAAATGCTGTATGTGAACTCACATGTAGGACCAGCTGTAGTCCCATGTCTGAGGTTTCCAGTCCTCCGGGCCCAGGCTGACAGTCAGCTGGAAGGCTGTGGTGAACATCATGTGGGCCACCATACCCAACAGACCTGCCAGACAGAGAGGGGACAAGAGATGAGACAGAACCTGACATCCTCCTCTGTGGCCAATCCTTGCACTTCTCTTCAGTCACCACTTGGTGGCAGTGTTACATTATGCTAGCCTGAATATACCATTTCTTTTAAGTTCCCATTTATACTCTACTACAGAAATATTATAGTTTTTTGTCCCACATTTCTTTCACATATACAGTTACTTTACAGATTAAGATTTTGCATAAAAACACATGATAAGCTAATACAGGGCTTTTCATCTAAAGGACCCCCACTATAGTTACACATTAGACCACTGACCCCTAATTTTAATACATGCTGTATGACTAATAATAGTTGTGCGCAACTTTTATTTATAGCGAATATATAGATAGGAGACCGTCACATGTGTACTGAAAATAATAATAATAATTTTTACTGCTTATTCTAGAGTATTTTCTACCATTTTCAGAAAAAAACAGTATAGTCCCTTGTGCCACAGGCTGATTTGATATCTATGAAATCATGACAAGTTAAATGTCAAAGATATGCACACATATGCACTGCAGAACACATGTTACGGCATTTTTCCTTATCATACCAAATATACTCTTGTATATGTATGCATGTATATGTAAATGCTCCCTAAATTGCAGCGTAGCCTAAATGTCTTATATAGGAGAGACGCACACTCCCAGTAACCACATTATGTTAAGCCACATTTGCCAACTTCCTTCCTCGCTCTCTGACGTATCTGACACCTTTGGTTCTTACACGGGAGTTACCTGAATAAAATGTTGGATTTCTCTGGGTTTGAACATTGCTGGAAACATCTGAGATAATGTAAAGTAACAACTACATATATAACATAAGTCTAGTGATTATAGACATTTAAATGCAGAAATGTTATATAGTATGTCTTTAAATAACTGTTAGAGGACCAAAGAGATTGAATGATCCAATATTTGACACAAAATGAAAAGTCTTTCACCTGTAATGGAGTATTTTACATTGTGGGATCGCTATGTTTAGTTTCTCTTCCTCCAATCTGAGTAAGTCACATTTAATATGCATAATGAGTCATACCTGGTCCACCTTTTATATGGGAAAAGTGCATAACAGTGAGTCTCACCTTGGACCCAAGACTGCACAAAAAGCTTCATTTGCAGCAGAAATGATGTCAGCGTGCAGCCAAACAACCACAAATAGTTAGTTAGTTAGGTTCTTTGGTTGTTTAGGGCATTCTCATAAACTCAGGATAAATAAATCTCGCAGTGAATTTCACACAACAATTTAGATAAATGATTTATTCATGCATAAATCACAAGCCTCTGCCTATGACTTACAAATAGGATCAACTGGTGCAGTGGCAGATACAGAGGGATAAATATGCTAATCATCCAGTCTGAGTGTTTTTGTTTGTGAGAGAAAAAGAGGCAAAGAGAGAGACAGAATTGACTGTTTGCTAAGCCCTGCGTCCCCGCGGTTGCTGTTGCCAAGCTTTCTGCTCTCACACAGTGCAGTTCATAATGACGAGGGAGGCAGATTTATCACTCAAAATTCATTCATTGTGATTTTTTGTGACAAAAGCAGACTTCTCATTTCCAGGCAGGGACTGTTGATTTTGTGGGCTGACAGCGAGCAGATTTTCTCAGCCCTAGTTAGCTGAAGAAGGAGAGTTGTTTAAAAACTCCAGCTGTGCGGCGTATTTTCTTTTTGTGTTTTTTTCAGCTGACATTTTTAAAAACCAGAACCCTGCAAACATCTTCTAAACGTGCACATGATGGCTACATAATGCTAAGGGGCTAATGCTAATGCTACATGTCTCAGGTAAAAAGTCAGCAGGCTAGCCTGAGCAACTGATGCACGTATAAGACATGTAGCTCATCGACATATATAAAGATGGACGAAAGTGAAGCCAATGTGTGAATGATGTCACCAGAGGAAGATGGGTGTATCTGGGATATTTTGGCTTCGCTTTTGGAAGTGTAAGTAAAATGTTAATTGTTCTAACATAGGCCTAACCCCGGTGAAGAGAAAATTTGAGGTTTATATGTCGTGTAATGTTGGCCGGGGTTGCTGGAATATAAACTTCCCCTTTAGGAACAGGACAGAGCTCCAAACGTTAGCCTACACTCGGATATAGTATCTTGACTGGCGGGATTTTTTCCTACGTAACCTGTAACATATTTAGCTACTCGTGGTCATGGGCTTTGGAATTAATGCTAGCTTCCTACTGTAAATTATAAGGTAGTTAGCCGGACATGCTAACATGCTCCAAACAATCCATTCCTTACTATTTTATTCTTGTGTTTTTGGTTTCGGAAAGCCATAGGAATACACTACCCTTCAGAATCTTTAAATATGTACTGTCACTGTAACTACAGCCCCATACACAATGTCTTTACATGTGGAGAAATCCACAGGAATGACGGTACAATGTTAGTTCATTTAAGGGTTCTGCAACTGGTTCTGTCTTCCTGCTCCATTCAGTGCTGCTCATTGTTCCTTTCTCAAGTACACTTCTCCTCGTCTGTTTTTCTCTGCTCCCCTTCATTTATTTTTTCCTTTTGTGTCTGTGTGGTGCTTTTTCTTTTCCTGGTTATGTTCCAGATCTTGTCAGCTCAGCACACAGGCTCTGGGCTCTCCTCACGCTGGACTTCTCAATGCCTATAAAATAGAACAGGACTAAAAACCAGCATGTGTAGCCTACCAATCCGATTACTACATAAGCCCCCCAAATCCCTGGACTGAACAAGTACGCACCAGATTCCGCACCAAACACCTAAATTCCCATCTCATCCCTATCAGTGCTCATGTTTATTCCTAAAGATCTCCCAGTGCAATATTATCATAATGTTATGCAGATCAGAGGAAGCTTTGTGTCAGGATGAGTGGAACAAATCTGAGATCGGAGTCTTGGCACGTTCCGTCATGTGGAAATTATGCATGTTCTGCTCACACAAGCTCCGATTATCATATGAAGTCAATAAGTGTCAATCCAGGTTGTTTATTTTTAGTGCCACAGCACTTAACAAGGACACACAGCATGATAGACGTGGCATTCCTTACACTGTTGAGCTGTATTACAGAGAGAATGGGGTCTAGTGTCAGCAGTAAATATCGCCATGCTCGACACCAGCCACTGGAGGGCAGCAGGGTTAACTATGAATGAAAGAATGAATAAATGAATGAATAAGAGAAAAGTTTTTGATGGAGTTCTGATCTATGAATAAATACATACCACAGTGCCCGACTGTCTCTTTCCTTCTTCTTTCTGTTCTGTTTTATTAAGACATGTTGGGCTCAAGCCTCAATGAAAGCTTTATGATACATGTTATGTCTAAATTATCATGTTTAGAATACCAACTTTTATTTTGGTTCATTTTTGTATTTTATCTATTTGATCAAAAAATTAAGATTGACTAAGGGTACAATAGTTAGCTGAGAGACTATATTTTCCAGTCTGGATTCCGGACCCACCTCATTAAAACAAATCTGATTGATGATTAAGATAAGAAAGCAGGAAAAAAACACATTTCTGCTGCACACAGTTACTTTTTTAATTAGTAAATTATCAAAGAAGAGAAAGAATCCCTGAACTGGGGACAACTGCATGTTACTGGAAACAAGCCATCGGAAATAGACATCAGAGTTTCGCAGCCACAGTAGTTTTTCCTACAAGCTTGTAACGAGCGAGCAGTATTCAGTTGGTTGCAATGTGCAACTTCGCTACTAGCTGCAACTACACACTGGTCCTTTAAAGGCCCCATATACACTGTGCAATAACAGAGATCTTGCATATTCACTGCACTGTGGAAGATAAAAATCTTGATCACAATCTGTGATATCTCTTTTTTTTGGCATGTCAGTGCGATGAATGCCTGGTGAACTGTAATACTACTGTAAACAAAAGATTCTTACTTTAAAGACACAGTAATATAAAATATTTAAATAATATAAATAATTATTTCTTAGTCCCTACGCCTATGTGTTAGATTTGACCTTTTTCTTCCATTATGCTAAATATATCTAGGAGAATTTTTTTTTATTACGTTTATATCAAAATCCCTCTCCTGCCTCTTCCTGTAAAATACTGCTGATGACACATCTTGAAGGCGGGGGGCATATACATACATACATACATACATATACATTTATTTCTCCCTCCTCTTCCTCTTCCTGGTCTGATGCTGTGGGTGAGGGAGGAGTGTGCGTGGTGGCCACAGCTTCTTATTGTGCTGTGTTTGCTACGCCATGCCACTTTGGAAGGACTTGATTTAAATCCCTCTTGTAATTATAGCCCGGCCACATGTTTGTTTACCTCAGGAATAGTATGTTAATGCTGATAGGCGTTGTTTCACTGTGTAGTACAAATGTTGCTTGGCAGCGGAAAACTTTAAAAGGAATGTTGAAGAAGTGCAAAAAAAGGGCAGCATATATTAGCAAAAAGATTACTGATACAGGCAGAGATGGACCCTGGGAAATTCAGCGAAACTAAATTAAATCAAGTTGAAGGAAAATGAAAAAAAAAACTCTAATGAAAGCTGCAGTCTCACAGCAAGCCGCCATCCCTCCCTCCCCCCTACCCCAGTGAATGGCATTTTACCCTCTTAGCCTCACCTAACTGCAACCTACCACCCACCCAGGTAAATACAGGGTAAACTAACCAGGATGTAAGATTTCTCAGTTATTGCTGACACCACAATTTACCTGTGGGCACACATACATACTGGGGAGTGCACCAAATTTAATAGAATGCCATTTATTGCAGAACTTTTTTCTCTTTGTCTTTCTTCCACACTCTTTTTCCTATCATGTACTCACATACTACCTCTTCATGCGCTCTCATCATCCCCCAGATGATTGACAGCTATAATAAAAGTTAATCTGGTCCCTTGTATTGTTCCCCTGCACCTCATTATCATAACCACTCTCAATCTATTCAGCCCATTAAAAACAGAAACAACTTTTAAATGCCTTCCTTATTTTACAAGCACACTAAACCCCTTTGTGAT